TATTCCATTAACGGACCTTTTTCGCGCCTTGCACAAAGCGGGGATATTGAGGGGCACAGACCTCAATCTTAGAGGTTTACGGCGGCCCTCCAGACCTCCTCCATAAAGAATTGTATTTGCATTCCGTAGCCTGAGAGATTGATCCCGACTTTAGCATGTCAATACTGGAGGTCAAGGGCTACCATTTACAGGGGAATTAAAACCGTATTAGCTGCCCCTAAGGCTGGTATTACACTGACAGATGATGTAGGGCAGCATTGGTAGATTACTCGTTTGCAGTTAAGCTAGGGAGAATAAATAAAACAGGCATCAAACGTTTTTCAGATCAACGACTTTTTTGTCGCAAGTGATTTAAGCGGTGCGGTGCTATACCAAACACGTCATCCATCATGACATACAATTTAATATGATTCGTAAAATTCTGAGCCACGATAACATTATTAAATATTCCACGTTTTAATAACATAAATGAACTCCTAGAACAAATAGTTCCACGTATCGCCATCTTTTAAACAAACTCAGTTGATATCGTCAACAAACTCGATAACTTCGACAAAGTTGAAATGACTGCAGGAGTCGCTCGGTAGTTGGTTGCGGAGCGCTCCCACAAGTCAGTTTTCATTTCTCCTCGGCGACATCGTTTCAAATTCTTGTCACACTCGGTCCCTTCAGACGTTAGATTGAATATAAGCATACAAGTCACGTCGCTACGTGTTTTTCTACACGACAAAGAAAGGTCCTAACCGTTTAGTGCACGTAATCAAATATATAAATTGAAGGGTGCTGATTCGATAATACTTTGCGAATAGCGACGCGTTTTTATGGGAAATCTCATAGGACACTTCTATGGCGTGGTCGTTTGTAATAATAGCAGGGTTTCTGTAGGGGTTGCCGGTTTCTCTTTTGAAAGTCTTTTTATATGTCTCTTGTGAACACAGTGAAATGGAAAAAAGCAATAAGAATATTAATGAAAACGAATGTTTGCTATTTGAAATGAATTTTTAAAGAATATAGCTACATTTCTCTAGCATAGTGCACCTTATAGACTTAAATATTAAACGGGTAAAAGCAACATGAGGACAAGCTCAATACAAAACTCGTATGAACTCCATTTTACAGTCCACTGCTGTCTCGATCAGTAGCTATTATCGTTGAACTGTGTAACTTGCAATGTCATGCTGAACAACACAAAAATAAGCGCTTCGGGGAACGCGTCAGCACTAGCACTAGTATTGATTCGAAACAATTTCATTAATATTTCTCCAACACTGGAGTCCGTTGTCAAATTCTTGACTTCTCCTTAACTTGATTCATGAAAATTAAACAGACAACTTTTTTCCGAGCAACAAAATTTCACGACGGTGAGCCTCTTAAACTTGCTTAAGTGCTTATTGGGAAAAAACGTCACCTAATAGAATAGAGAGTGACGTCACAGCTACGTTAGGGCATAGATTACGTGAGAACCATCGCTACAAAGATATAACTGTTTATTTAAAACAAAGTGTTATCTTTACAAAACACAACTTATGACTAAAGTAATAAACTTCATAATTCAGTGTGTCTGGGACGTTCCGGCAACTTTTACGAGATTACTTACTAAATAAATCTCGATAAATGAACCACAATTTTTCCACTAGTTAGAGCTACCAAAGCCTGTGGCTGACAGTAATGTGTATACTAAGAATTAAGTAAAAAATAATCGCTGTAATAAAGCTGTTAATGGAAAATATTGGAGGTCGGAAGCAATACCGGTGTCGTTTCCGTCACATAATCTGTGTTCGAGGAGATTGTGCGAAGTATTTCGTGGAGCGAGTGGCGTCGGATTACACGCGTTCTGTCGTGACAGGCGCGCCGAGCCGCCGCGCGCCGCGACGCGTGACGCGTGACGCGTGACGCCAGATTAACTTCACCGAATCCCTTCAAGTATTCCCATTAACTGGACTCCGCACATTTTTGGTGTTGCAAGCTATTTCCCAATATCGAAGAGAGGTCAAAAGGTAATTTCGTAATTAGAACCTTTTTGACTTTGTCCGTGTTGGGATAACGTGTGTAATTGAAGCTTTCATACAATACTGCTCGTTGGTACAGGAGTATGTCGATTTCGATTCGACTCTTGATCTCTCTCGATCATGAGTTCGATTCCTTGGCTAGACAAAGGCCAGCAAATTTTATTATTCCGTCCAAAATCGTCCCCAGTTTTTTTCGGAAGAAATTTGATAAAAAATATAGAACACTATATCTAATGTCAAACATGAAATAGATTTTGAAATCAGTAATAATTGTTCTGTCTAAAATTAGGTAAAGCTTTTGATATCCTTTCAAAAGTTCAAATAACCAAAATTCAGTTCGAGAGTTTTTGGGTTAACCACACATCTGATATTTGCTGTTAAACGGGATAATTGGAATGAGAGAAATATTAAACAAACAAAGCGCCATTGCCCAATGATAAAAGAGAATTAATAGCATCGCGTCGCGCGGCGCCCCGCAGCCGCAGCGCCACCTACATGTTGTCTCTAAAAGTCTAAACACACCGGACCAAATGTTGGACTAGAATAAATTTAAAAATTCAAACAATCATTTACTTATATTGACTACCTTTCTGGCTCGATTCTAGGCTGTCTATGATTCGGTTTTATTCGAGGGTTGAGACAAATGTATATATAATTGATTTATTAGGTCTTTAATAGTTAAAGTAGTATAGTAATGGTACCTAAACGTAAGTGTGTATGTATGTATGCATCTATCAAAATATTTTTTCAGTTGCCGCTTATACTTGTCTATACAATTAACTCCCCCTTTTATATTCTTCTCTTCCTCCAAAATATATATTCTGAGGATGCCTGAAAGAGATCCTGAGGCTTCCAACCTCCAACAAATGTTGAATTCTTTGAAGAATTTTGTTTAATTCTTAAAATGGGTATAATTTTTAGTTTCTCTGTCTATCTTTCTACCTCTGAATTAAAACACGTTTTGATATATTATCTAAACACAGTATATGTACCACTCGTTGCTCACCGAATCGTAGTAACTGTGCAGCATCCCCCTTCACTGACACTGTTCTGAGAAAATTTTAATTACAATTCCAGTGAGGCGCAATTCGTTGACCGCTTTCACATTTTACTTAATTATTCATCAAAGTACTTTTGGTCAAAGACTTGAATTATATTTATATAAAGTAATTCAAGACAATTTCATATTATTATAAGCAACTATAATAATTAAAATACATACAGTTGCTTTTGTGTGTTGTTTGCTTTTGCCATAAGGCTATTGCCTTAAGAAAGTATAACAAAGAAAAATCTAATTTAAAGAGTCTGGAGTTCCTTTAACTTCACTAAAGCACAGATAAAGCGACCAATACGTATTATTATTTATATTTCTGTTGTTTGACCTTTAAAAATACCTCTTCAGTATAATTGAAATAGATTATTTCGACCTTGACTTTCTCCGTTTATTCGATATCAATTTACAAAGTTAATTTTGAAGTATTTTTATTAAAACAGTTATCCAACAACTTTAGAATCATTGTGATAACTATTTATTTAATGTAATTGTGGGAGCATGACGGGTCAAAATGAATCGTTACTCTATCTGCATCTAGATGAGCGATGTCGCAGTGCAGCTGTGCACACCGCATTGTCATGTACGTTTGACGAAGGTCATCATAATTATCAAGCATTAATGGAATAATATTTGACTGCCCTGTGAATGCAGTGGCTAGGCAACCACCTGGCGTGTAGCGGGTTCGAACCCATAGCGAACTATTCATTGTATGATCCACAAATTGTTGTCCCGAGCCTGGGTGTAATCTCTATGTGAAATTAAGCTTCTTCACGCACAAAGGACACAGAAACAAAATTCTCGTGTAGGGCAAAGTTTTTATAAAAGGAAACATTGAATCCTAGATTATTTGCAAAATACTTAATATACTTTTTAATTATATATACTTTATTGTACACATTGTTAAAAGAGTGAGCTTACAGCTACAGAGTTTTCAATGGCGATCTTATCACACAGGTTGATTTCTTTCAGACAACCTTAGGATGGATATTTGTATTTATTTCGATAAAGTCTCACACTTCGTTTTGTCCCACTCAAGATTTTTACATGATATTTAGCAATAAAAGGAATTCAAAGGGTTTTTTTTTTAATCATTTTATGCCCCGAAGGTTAAGGCACTCGCACGAGGCATCGAGTTTTAAACCTAGCCAATACTAATGTAATTGTTACCAAGTTGTAGGTACTTTCTAAGTTTATTTAGACAACACTGACCTATAGTGATCAAAAGATCGTGAGTAACCTGCACCTATAATTTCTAAATATACGTTTGAAATTGCTATTCCGCCTTGGGTATGCGTGGTGATGCTTAAATCTTTTCCTTTGGGTTCATGATTAAGTTATAAGCAATAAAATTATTTCCAAGATATACATATTGCATAGCTTCTTGAACCTAAATTTGTAAAGTTGCTAAAATTCTTTAATCGAATTACAGTTCTATTGTTTTATTTTAAGGTTGAAATCTATTAAAAGCAATTAAGTGTCAGGAGTAATTCGACTATACGCAATAGTCTTGTTTAGTATCAATGTACCGTCACCATGGTACACTTGCCGCACTCGCGTGTGTCTGCGTCCGTGACCGCAAGCTCGCGGCACGTCGCGCGGTCTGCGGTCTGCGGTCCACGCCACGACGCGACGTCTCAACTAACCTTCACAGTTCGTTACAAACTGCTTCTAGTTACTATTCGTTCAGGTAAACTTGCACTGTGTTATTTAATGAGACAACTGATAGGTTAAATAAGATCGCAAGTTAGTATGTATGTTTGTTTTCGCAACGGTTTTTTAAGTTTGAAAAGTGTAAAGAGTACAGTAAGTGTTATTTTATTATACGTAATTTTCCAGATGTAACACCTACGCTATACATTACTTCAGACGTAATGATGTTACTGTATATATAAATATATCTTATCCTTCTTTTCGAAGAGTAAAAGTAGAAGAAATACTTAAGTGCTATCGACTGACCGGCCTCGAGCCGCATGTCCCGCGACAGTATGGTGCCGGCGGTGCTGGCGGCGCGGCAGCGGTACACCGCGGCGTGCACGTCGCTGCGGTACTGCGCCGCCGAGAACGCGCCCAGCCACAGCGTGCCGTTCGACAGGGCGCTCCTGGAAGTAAACACACCCTGTAAATATAACGTCCAGACTTGTATAAAGTTGTGGGGCGTTCTTTATAGAAATTAAGTAATTCTCATGGTTGAAATTAAAAAATAATGATTTTGATAATTTGCTATAGTCATACGTGGCACGCAATACAACGCAACGCCACTTATGGACGGACCTATTAAAAGGAGTTACGAGTAAATTGCCGGCCTTTTTTGGATAAGGGATTTTGGAAATTTAATGACTGGGAAGGTATGGGAGAAAGAGAGGGATTGGATCTCTGGTAACCTCACTTACACGGTGAAACACAACGCTCTAGTTGTTTCACGCCGGTTTACTGTGAGGCCGTGATACGTGGTACGTGGCCGTCAACTCCGCGGCTCCGGTTGAGCTGACCTATTCATGCCAAAGCTTGGCTAATCTACACTTAAAATTGAACTATGAGGTATCACCAATGAATAGGAATTATCATTGTATTTCACTTTGTACGAAAGGTATAATATTCATATTTTTCTTATAAATTAGTCAGACGATTGGAAAGAAAATAAATATAAATCAGGATCACCTGTTGCGAGCTTTTCTTTAACTCAATATAAAAGTTCAACGACGGATAGTTTATACGATGTGTAAGGAACTGTACCACGCCTTCCGTGGGTTATTTATTGGCCGTTACTCAAGCGAACATGATCCGGTGCATTTTATTGCGCTTGTGCTAAATAATACTTCGCCAGCTGTCAGTCCATCGTACCCAAATAGGTCAACAGTCAGTTTTCCAATGTATTCATGTAAACAGCAATTAACTGGAACGAAAATTAAAATGACTGCATTATTTAATTTTAATTACTACACAATTACTTGAAACACTGATTTCTGTTTGCAAAATAAATCGTTGGAAATATGCAGGTATCCTGTTATAGGTACTTAACTATATTTGTGTTTTATTCGCAAAAATGAAATGTTACCTTGTATATATTATTATCCGTAATGAGCAATAGCAGTAACCAACTTACGTCTCGTTAACTTAAAAAGGAATTTTTAGAATCAAAATTTGCATTTGCAGTAAAAAGCAAATTTTATAAAAGGTGGTCCTTGGCGTCGGCCTCTTCCCGAGCGTCGTCCATTATAAGTCGCGACAGTCGAGAGAGAAGAAAATGTTTTAAAAATATGAAAGCAAATAATATCGTTCATAGTTTGAATTGTTACAAGAAGTTGAAGATATTCCAAGTTAGTCTGTTTGTATCACAGCTCCCCCGAACGCAGCCGTAACTTGACCAACTTACTATTAGCTAGCACTCACTGCCTCTACTTTGTCTGATGTTCGTGAACAATATTTTTAACTTTGTTATAACTTATTGTAAGGTAGTAGCAACTCTTTTACGTTTTATGCTAACTAAGACCAGGAAATGGGTCTATGTAGAGAGTATTGATATCCAACTGAATCCAGCACAGACTTAGCCCCAACTCAAGCCTTTAGAGAGCTTATGTATGAATGTAAATACTTTACTTATATAGTAAAGCAGTCTGCCACTAAAGCTGAGAAAGATCTTGATCTGTCAAAGCCCCAAAATCCCTCCTAAACCAATTGAAGAAACTATTTCGTTAAGCATTCACTAGTTGGAACGTTGTAAAGGCGGCATACAAAATTTATGGAAGATAAAAAAGGTTGTTACGTGCGCGGGTCACGAGGAGGTTTCTCGATCATGGATTTAACGGCTTCAATCGTCGACTTCTGAGGTCCACGCGAGAGTTACGAGAGACCTTATTCTAGGTAATAACTTGCGACCGGCTCAGCCCTTACTGTTAACTCACTGAGTTACGTTTTTGCTCATAAAAGCGGTGTCATCAATTTTTATACGTTTCCCGTTAAGCGAAGTTTATTGAGTCTCAGTTATCAAGGTGTAGGGCTTGATATTACATCTCATCTCAGCATGGCGAGGCGTATTTTGTTCAGATAGGCAATTTCTTGCACAAAGTTAATCAAAGTGGTGGTCGACTATTGCATAGAAATCATGATCATAATTATAGACAGTTGCGTGTGTTTTTATTCAAATAATACCACTACCTGAACTTGTCATTTTGGTCAAACTATATTTAAGAAACCTCGCGTTGTTTGATTCAAAGACAAGTTTAATCACTGAACTAAACTAATATAAATTTATATTTTTTGATTTTTATCTAAACAAAATAGGAGTTCGATTTTATTACACGTTCAGAGGTGTTATTGTCCGTCTATACCGTTATTAATGTAAACGTATTTCGGACGTGTCATAGAATATTTATAATTAAACCAGCAACGGGTCCTTTCAGCGCGCACATTTATTTAAATTCAAAACGATTTTTCTGTGCGGCCTTCAAACGCGGCGCCCTCCTATTCATAGTGACCAAACTTTCTATTGAATAATCTCTTTGAATACAAATGATAACTTGAAACAAAACACTCACTTCTGTGCCTGTCCTCGTTATTAATCACCAGATACTGTTCCTTTCCATTCCGATTCAATTCCTTAACGTTTTTGAATAAGAAAATCTTTTTAATAGAATCTGCGGGTTTGTGAATAAGATAAATGAGCCATGATTTTTGGTTTGGATAAAAAATGTCGGTGAATGTAAGAAAAATAACGTTTGAATGGAAGTCGGGTCGGACTGTGGTTCTCGCCATTTATAACCGTCGCGTTTAAAACGATAGTGTACGTTATACTCGGCCCGCTATAGATCTGCCGACAGATTTATTGCACCGCTTACATTTTACAGCTTATGAAATTATTTGCAGTAAAGCACTTTGTCAATTTAATAAACTTAAAATAAATAAGATTATGACTATATCTTTATAAAAGCGCTTTAAAATTATAAACGTTTCCCAAATACTCACAGTGACAGAAATCTAGTAAATATATATAATTTAAAATAGGAGTTTAATAAATGATGAAATAATCGTTGTAATGTTTACAAAAGAACAAATATTTCTTGTAATCCAGTCTCAGTTCGTGAAACACACGAGAGGCCTATAACAGAAGTCCCTATCAATCTCTCAGGCAAAGGTCGAGCCTCCCAATAAGAGTGTAAGGTCACAATAAAATAATCATGGCGGTGTTTACGTGACTCACACAGCATGAATATTGCATGCCGGCGAGATCTGTCGCGGGATCCCCGACTACACATTCCTGAGAGAAATGAAACGAGTGATTGAAAGTAAACTTATGCATTAACATAATTACATTTTGCATAAGTAAATAAATAAAATCAGCTTACGATGGGTGTCAACAACTTTTTAGATATTTTTAGCTTAAATTTAATAGGCACACAAAGTAATAAATCCTCCCAATATTAATAAAGGCCTTTTATTTTAAGGATAGAAAATAAAAAAGGATTATATTTGAATACACATTCGGATATAGTCAAAAAGCAAAATAAAACACTGTGACATATCTGCCATTTTCGTGAGTGAAGGTCGCGTGTACAGCGATGATGTTGCGACTTTTTATGTGGCTTGTAATGTTCGTGTGACGAAACGTATGCGGTTTGTATCACGTACCGTGCACGGGAGCCGGTCGCCGCACGACGCGGGACTCGTGTTTGTTCATTTGTGTTATTTGCTGATACTTTGTCTCTTCATAACATTGTTTGTATATCATTAATAAAATAACTTGTTACATTTACTTTATATTCAGCACTTCTGTACTTTATTGCTATCGGTTATATCTAGTACTTATTAGAAAATACTCGATCTAGTAATGTTTACGTGGAAGGTGTTGCGGCTTTACATTTAAATACGTTCTGCTAATGACGAACATGTTCAGCCAGTGACAATATTGTAACACGTGGCGGCGGATGTGGCAACTCTGTTAAGGAGGAGTTCATCTATATACTGAGCTACTAAGTATCCGAGCAGTTTTGTTGTCAGAGCTCTAGCATATTTTATATACTTACACTTTTACATACTCTATTAGATTAGAATATATCGTTGTGTTAAGTTCAAATGTTGCTTTTTAAATCAAACCGAATCAAAATGTTACTTTATCAATGTTTTCCAATGCCTTACTTTTTGTTAACTAAATAAACCTCCACGAATGTCGACCACCATTATGCTACAGCATATTTTTTTTTTTTTTTATTTATTAGGTCGGCTAACGAGCAGACGGATTACCTGATGGTAAGCAATCAGCGCCGCCCATGGACACTCGCAACGGAGGAGTTACGAGTGCGTTGCCGACCTTTTAGGGATTAGGGATTTGGAGATTTAGGGATTGAGGAGGGATTGGGGAAGGGGAAGGATAGGGCCTCCGGTAACCTCACTCACACGGCGAAACACAACGTAGTGGTTATTTCACGCCGGTTTTCTGTGAGGCCGTGGTATCACTCCGGTCGAGCCGACCCATTCGTGCCGAAGCATGGCTCTCCCACACTTAATTTATTTAGGGCAGATGGATGTATGATACTTTAGGAGAAGCATATCAAAATTAGGTGTAGGTTTAGCTTATCTAGAAATATTAATTTAGGTTTGAAGATTTTAGTGAGTATGCCCAATAATTATCACACTTTAACACCCTGAACGTAGAACTACTCCTTAACATTAGACACTTCCCAATTATCGCGCGTCAAAGTAACCAAGAGTTACTGTCACTAACGCTCCGAAGGCTTTGATAAACATACTGACTAGCAACCTCAAGCCGTGAGCTTTGCAAATAATTTACATACAACATTCACGCCATATTCCGAAAGTTTAAACTGTTCCGCTAATTTCGAAAATTTCTCATGTCACATTGCCACCTGTGAGTTACTGAAACACCTACTGACGGCAATTTTTCAAATTATCATGTCGCTCTGTGTATGCTACGGATCTGCTACGTCGACTACGTAAATTCGTAGCCCGGATGTGCTACGAAATAACACATTTTTTGGAACACGTCTTTTATTTTTTTATAGTATTTTTCTATCTTAATTTGATTTTCATGAATTAACTGTCTCTTGTTCATTGACGTATGAATAAAAATAAACTATGGACCACTTCGTATAATTAATTTTGCAAACAGCTCTTAAGACGGAGCAGCCCATTCGTCAAGAGCTCGTAACAGTGCTAGTGTTTACCGACCTCCATACATACCTAAACTGTGATCCTAATATATTTGCAAGTGTAATTTTGTTCAGAAAGGGAAATAAAATCTGATGTACATCCTAATCGTATGTTGGTCATATATGAATTATTCAGGACGGAATATTGAATACCGTTGGGAAACGACTGTGCGAAGTTTGGCTTACAACGGAATTAAAAGCTTAGGCGGCCGGTATTAGGCCCCTTCTTTAGTTCTCTATTGAGCTATAGATCCATACAAATTGGAATATCTCTACCGATCGATTTGTATAATAAACTAAAATTATTTCAGTATAATAATAGTTCTTCCAATGATTAAACCTTGCAATTCTAGTAATGAGAGACACTATAGAAGAATGAGAGTTGTGCGAACGCCGACGTTCGTTGGGGTTCGATGAATTAAGTTGTCAGATCAAGTGAAGATTACTCACATATATCTTGAAGATCTCGAAGATGAAAAAAAATATTACCCCATAATTATGTGTGGATTCGACATCTTTCCAGTACTAAGATTGAGCGCAGGCTTCGGAGAGCAAAGTGTTATTAGTCCGAGGTAGTCACTGAGTGGGACCCGCATGTCTGTGCGGCGTATACGTATTTACAATACATGAATAAAGGCGCTTCCACAATCCCAATTATACACAGAAATTAATATCATAAAGTTTTTGGACAGGCCGACCATAACCACATTATCAGGCTGTTGAATTTATTATCCCTTGAAGCAACAAAATAAAGTTTCACGTAATCCCTCGTAAATTAGTGTATACCAACATTAAAATAACAAAGTAATTAACAAAGCCTTCCTGGAGCGAAACTATAAATCATACATACATATGTATTTAACCCTTTACATGTAAAGTCAAACAAAAGCCTTGTATTCAAATAGTCCCGAAAGTTGTTAATGCGCCGTGACGACTATGCCCGCACGAATTCATCAACAGTATCAATCGGTGTAACGAGGGCAGAGTAAGGGCAAAGTGTGGGCAAACCTTGGGCAGGGCTCGGGCAAGGCTCGGGCAATCTCCTCCAGCCCGCAGAGTGCCGGCAAATATTTGGCAGAACTTGTGCTAGCCGTGTTTGTTATACTATGGGAAGTTTAATGGCGATAGATTGCTTGTGTGTGGCTTGGGATTATAGATTACCTAATGGGAAGATTACGATGTATGTACATATTCTCTATTTGAGTACCTGAAATCTGTCAGTTAAAATAATAAAAACAGGTTTCAACACATTTGTAAATCCAACTCCTTAAATCTAACTCTGAGATCTAACCATCGTGGGCTGTCTCAGTTTATTTGATAACTGATTGATCGGGTTAACTTTTGAAAACGATCATTTTAAAATGTCTTACAGTGAAAATAAATAGTGTCGATAATACAAAAGCTTCTAGAGTATTTAGTTCTTTATTTAATTACAACTAATGAAAAAGTAACAACACACCGTTAAAGTTTACATTAACTGCAGTTTTAGGCTTTGTTTTATGGATACTAAAGCGATTTTTATTTCTTATTAAAAAGAATACAAAGTTGAAAAGGATTCGTGTTAATTTTCTGCAATACAAATTGAGTTGGAAAATGCATAGTACTAGTTAAACTCGAAGCAAACATAATACAATTGTTTGTCTTATGTTCTAAGTAAAGTGGTTACAAGGTAGGTATACTCCCACTGTTTATTCAAAAGGTCTCGTATCACTTGGGCCAACCCTTGACAGGTTCGATACCCATAATATAAAGCGTAGGGCACACCGAGGAGGCCAGTTTTACGAGCGAAACCAAAGGGCCGATTGTTTGCTCGACAAACGCGCTCGAAACAATTCTATGTAAAGGCAACATTATTAATATTAGCTTTAGTTATCGAGTGTAGACCCGGCCTGTAATGTCACGACTTTGACGATAATGTTCGGATTATTGTAGACCTTCAAGGTTCTTGAATGTTATGATAATATGTTAAGTTGATAACGCACACTGTAGTCAGGGAGCCAGGGCATTATTCCCAGGGGTGCATAGTTATACAATGAACAGTTGTTCTTGTTGTTATTCTAATATTACATATCTTAATCCGAATCGTTTGTTTATTAATTTTAAGTGTTAGGATTCGTTTGTATAGAAGTCTAACTAAATATAAATGCAACAATATGTATTCATTTGTTTAACTTAATTCAAATTTTTTGTGTTAGTATTTCCTCTATAAAATTAAAAGCAAAGTCTGAAATGCAATACTTTCGGAATTATAATCAATAATAACCGTTAGTAAAAATGGGTCATTTTTTTCAAACATTCTATACAAATCCGGATCCAGTAATCATTAACATAAAAGAAAAAAGAGAATACTTTTTGAAGCCGAACAATTTGGCAACGGACAAAAGAATTTCGATGTTGAAATGAAGGGCTCATACCGCAAGACATTATTTTTAACAAACCTGAATCTGGCCCCGAACACTCCATCCTCTTCATAGCAATCAACCCACGCACACACCTACAACACACACAACAACACCTATCAACAATGACGCTCACACATACACCAGGATGTTACTAATTCTGTACTATATGTGACTAAGCGCATGCATGTGTGTGTAAATCTTGTAATGTGTCAATGTGTGTGTCAAACGGTCTAGAGATTTAATTTCACGTGAAACACTACAAAGTGTGCACGATTCAAAAATGCTGTGTGTGTGTGTGTGTGTGGCGTTCTTCAGCTCCCAAGTAAGTGCGGCGTGAGACACGGGCGCTCGGCCTGTTTATCCTTCGATACCTTTTGTCCGCACAATTTTCCATCGGAATCCCTCGGGTACACCAGCCATTACGTACCAGGATAACGGTTGAGAACACTTTGAATATACTTTACACACAGAAATGTAATGAAAAGCAACCGTCTTTCATGAAAAAAGATTAGTTTGAACGAGCTAATTTTAATGGAGAAATATCTTTTGTTGATTCAACAATGTTTCGAGATTACGTGACAATGTTCTCACGGAAGGAGCGAGATAAGAAAAAGTAAAAGAATTTTAAGCCAAGTTTGGCGGAGAACATTGTTCAGATTATTTCAGCTGGAGTTTTATTATAAACACGAACTAAGATCTTGGTATGAACTTGTATAATTGTTGTGATTGAAATAACTAAACACAACAAGATGGAAAAGTTTTAAGTTCCAATAGCTTCGTAGAAATGCCTTAAAAATATTATTACTACCACAACTATTACTACCCAAAATAACTTTGTAGCGTCGGGAAATTATTTTAAAATGGATTCTATTGTTTGTTTGATATACATATATTAATGCAAACAAAGCCACATGAAATCCGAAGAAACATTTCAAAGTCAATAAACCAACATTGATGAACTTCCTCGTACAGTAATAATATATCGTACATCGCACACAATAGCTTTTCAACCAACACATAAAGTACAAAATTGTAGCAAAGAATAAAACCTAACGCAATAAAATCTCTTATAGAAAAATCAAATGGGAGATCTTTTTATTACGCTCTCG